TGCTTCTACAGCCGCTGTGGTTTCCGTTTGGTTAAGAACTGGCAATTCAACTGCTGGCGTGGTTACAGCTTCTGGGCCAGGATGCTTTCGCTTTTGGTATTTCTCTAGACGCTTGCGCAGTGCATTCTGCGATATCACAGACTGGGGTTTTAATCGCCGAAATTCGGCGAGTAGCAGGGGTCATTTCCAGGTGTATGCTTTGGAAATTTAGACGCGATATCCAGCAAATGATTAGCGAGTGTATCGTCCAGCACAGGCATCATATCCACTATTGTAGACAGAGTCTCACCCATTAAATTTGCTGACTGCATATCAGCAACCGGACTCGCTTCGGTTGAAGCAAGACACGCAGATACGGGCTATTGTCCAGACGTTCCACAGCACAATTATACAGTATCGTGGACACTACATCACTGTTCGACCACGGCTGGTTTAAAGCTAGCTGCTCAGCACGAAGCTGCTTAAGAAGTGAGAACTCTTGTGCAGAAAATTCTCTTACAGCGTCAAACTCCGGCTCTAGCCCCAATAACCCAACAAAACCTTCACGAGTGAGATACTTCCGTTCTTGAATGTTACATACAAGAATGGAAAGGTATCCTGTTACAAACAATACACTACAGTACGAATGACCGGTACTGAGCTATCTCTAGACTCTAGCTACACTTTACTATGAGCTCAACACCGAAATATTAACACTTTACATGTTCGTCTTGATGGAAGGTTAATCGTCATTTAAGAAACATTTAACGAAGGCATACGACGCCTAGGGTAACCAAACGTTAACGCGAACTAATATTATAACGCTTCACTGCTATTGGAGTAGTGTGTTTTCGTGCAAGTCAATCAAGACAATTAATTCAAAAGATTGAAAGTAAAACGTCCAGTGGTAGGTATTCATAACAGGCCTTTTATTATACCGAATTCCTTCTGTGATTAATGACGTTCAGTCATGACTGAAACCGCAATAGCCAATCATTTGGTTCGAAATACCGAGCCGTTGTAGTCTATGTGCTAACTGATCAGTGCAAACCGAAAACGTGTAAACAGTATTATAAAAAAATCATTTTGAAATTGGCAGGGATGCCGCAGCACCAAGGAAGCCCACGCGTCACCGGTCAGGGTCGTATAAACCGAAGCACTGCCGCGGCAGCTCTCTAACCGTCCCAAGTTAGAGGTCTGTCAGCACTTCATCAGTTGTAAGAACGTCCAGCTGACTCTAAATACATTCTATCCATCTCTAAACAAAGATGCTATGGATTAGCGTCGTAAACGGATCTAGCAGTCGCGTAAGAACGACGCCACTACCAACCCCAGCAGGCGACGTGAGCGACATTGAGCCACAAGAAGAAACTATTGTTTTACGTTTGATAGAGGATAGTGTTGAAAATGTTTTGTCTGACGGCGTGCTCAATTTCGATGCCGAGTTAAATATTAACTCGTTTGAATAAAATGATGTTTGCTCAGGTCATGTATTTATTCGTTCGAATAATATGTTTTTTGCACACGTCACATATTTTTGATAGATGTAACTTTTATGGTCCTGGATAGTCGCGGCCCAGTTCAAGACTTTGGTTGTCGTTAATCACAGAAATAATTCGGTTTCTCTTCGTGCCCGGTTGGATAGTACAACTTTCGTACATACGAAGTCTTATATAATTTTTTGTATCTACTTTGTCCTTTACAGAAACAGGCAATTCTAGGATGGAGACCTGCAGACACCTGGGTGTGGTACTCAGCAAAGCAGTTGCGCTTTGGTAACGCGCAAAGTGGCAGCTCTCACGCTGCACATACAACCGTTGTTTGCCGCATCGCGCCATTCTTGATGCAAAGTGCGCACTGAACTCGTTGCAATTGAAAAAAAAAGATGATGCATGAGTTGAACAGGCCTTTCTTGTACACGTTCAGACCGGGTATTAAGCCGCCATGCTCATTCTCTACGAAAAGCCCGACGATTTAGTGGTGTTTTGCTGGCTCTGAAACAAACGCCTTGGTGGTAAATGTAGGCGTTAATAATCGTATTGTCCAAAACCCAAAAGAAATAGGAACCCAAGTACGATAGGAAATTAGCTGCGTCTTGTAATAAGCTTGATACTGATCATCAATTGCAACACCATTCATGTAGTGGTTGTAGTCATCAACACAGAGTGGAATCGCAAAGGTTTTACGAGAAGATCACCAAATGGGCGCCGTACACTAGCTCCATTAGTAGACGTAATTCTAGGCCGTTTTCGCTCACGAAACCACTCACTACCCTTAACGTGGTGAATAGTAGACAATAGTTGCATATGCCCATTATCCATCAAAAAAATCACAAGAACATTGCCCACTTCCATTGACTTTATCGTATTCCATTCATGTTTTCTAGTCTTATCGTTTTGAAATCGCATTTCTTTCGGATACTTCGCCGAGTTAGA